GAGAGTGGAAGATAGTGTGGTAGAGCTGAAGAACATAGACTTTGGAACCAGGGACCAGACTCTGAGTTCTAGCTCTGCCATTTAATAGCTGTGTAACTGGGTAATATATCCTCTCTGAGCCTCTGTTTCACTTATTTTCTCACCGGTAGATTGGTGTAACATTCACCTAATAGGGTTACTGTAAGGATTAAATTAGATAACATGTAATTTAGATACATGTATCTAAAGGATTAAATTAGATAACATGTAGAAAGCACAACTCTAATGACATGAATTATTATTCTTATTACCGCCAAGTGCAGATGGCAGCTACCTGACCAAATGTTACATGCTCTACTATGTCATGACCCATGTTCCTACCTCACATGTCTCTGATATAACAGGGTGGCTGTGAGGTTGGTGAGTTAAAAGCCACTCAAACGCCTATCCCAGGGGTTCTTAACCTGGAGTCTCTGGGTGGGCTTTAGGGGACAGGGCAGGGGGTCAGGTCCATGAACCCCCTGAAATTACTGGCAAAATTCTGAGGTCATGTTTCTAGAGACAGGGTCCATAGCTCTCAACAGCTTTTCAAAATTATCTATGGTCCAGAAAAGACGATAAACTTGTGTCACAGACAAATTCACAGCACTCTAGCCAGAAATTTGACCCTTAGTGTATTATCAACATCCAACCTGAAAGCTTGCTAACAGAACTTCAAGTTGTTATAGAGTTTTAATAAACCCTATCCTCAAATGTTTCAAGATTCTCCTTGGATCACCAGTGGCCTCTGGTTCCCTCTGGGGGAATTCTAATAGAGTGTTCCTGGCCCACCTTTTTTGCCTGGAACTCTGCCACCATCCGGCTGGGCGTGGTGACTCACGCCTGTAATCCCAAAGCTTTGGGAGGCCAAGGCGGGCAGATCACGAGGTCAAGAGTTCGAGACAAGCGTGGGCAATATGGTGAAACCCTGTCTCTACTAAAAATACAAAAAAAATTAGCTGAGCATGGTGGTGCACACCTGTAGTTTCAGCTGCTCAGGAGGCTGAGGCAGAAGACATTGCTTGAACCCAGGAGGTGGATATTGCAGTGAGCTGAGATCGCACCACTGCACTCCAGCCTAGGCAATAGAGCAAGACTGTGTCTCCAAAAGGAAAAAAAAAAACAAAAAACTCTGCCACCATCCATAGCCTGTTAAGACCAAGACCCAGACACCCCACCTGCCTTTCCCATCCAATCTCCAATGGGCCAAAACCCAAAGGTGCTGCCTCAAGCATTTGAGTGGGTAGGAAACTGATGGATTAGCGCAGAAGCCAAATTGGCTCTGACCCCACAAGACTTCCAGCAAATTCTAAGTAGGGCCCCCCCACCAGCAGTACAAGGAACAACCCTGTCAAAGGCCCCTGCTCTCCCCCCTCCTAAGTTCTCAAGGCCAGTGTTCTCTCGGTAAAGGAAAAGGAAGAACGGTTATTCAAGGAAGAGCCTGTTATTCATTGATTTCCCTCACCAATACCTTTTTCCATTTTCCAACCTCATCTGGGACAATGGCTTCTCTACCCCAGGGACGGAAGCATTTCCCACAGCCTACAAAATACAAGCTAGCCTCTCCCCATGCTGAAGCACCATATATGGAAAACGTGACCTAGGGAGGGGGAGAGCAGGTCACTATTCCTTTTACAAAAGCCTTCCGATCAGTTCAGTTCACACAGCTGCCCAACAGCATTGTGCCACAGGGTAGGGGTCACAGGAGGTTGCCACCTGCAGCATGGTATAGACCAGCAGCGTCTGGGCCCCACCCGGACCTTAGCACTCACCTTGGGTCTGTGGGAACTCCGGACCATGGCCTTGGCTTGCGGCTGTGGCTGCTGCTCTTCGCCATCCTTCTCTTTGCCACACTTCATCTTCTTGGGTGGCAGAGATTCCGTCACATCATCTGGCTGCCATTTGTTCTTGCAAGCAAAGACCCCTACGGTTTCCTGTTTCACTCGAGCCTGCCCGGCCTTACCCCGAACTTCAGGTTGGCCCCTCTGGGTAGCTGCTGGGAGGCCATCCGCTCGGAAGCAGGTGGCTAAATTGAAGACCACATCACCATCCACCTTCTCCATTTTCACTCGCCCCAGATCCACCTGGCTTCCAAGCTGCGCAAGCTCTGTGCTGGAGCCCCTCCTGCTGCTCGGAACCACATCCAAGATAAGTTCCTTGGGGTGGCTGTCGTGAGGTAGCAAAGGCAGCTCAGGCATCTTAGGCAGGTTCTGGGGGGTGGCCAGGACCAGCTCATGGGACATGTAGGTGGCCAGCACTTGGTTCTTAGGCTTTGTGTCTCCTGCCAGCTTCAGGCCACAAGCCCCCTGGGGGCCTTCCATCTTAGGAGTGCTGTCAGAGCAGAGGTGGCTCTCAGATTCCTCTGGCCCCTGATTCATTCGAATGTCCCCACCGCTAGGCTGGACAGATAGCGCCAGGGTTCCAGTCTGAGGGCTAAGGGTCAAGAGGACAGGATTGACTTGTTCTTCATAAGGCTTGGCAGCAATCCGGCAAGTTTTATTCTTTGTAACAGTGTCCTGCTCTGGAGCAAAGGAGCCCCCAGGCCGTGGCTGCCCCTCGGGAAGTCCATGCATGGCCTCACTGGAGCTGAGAGATGGCACACCAGAAAACTCCGACACAACGCTGGTGGGCCTGATGGGCGCCCCCTGACTGGGGGCCAGCTGCCCGGCACTGGAAATGCCAATGGAAAGCAGAGACGCCTGGTGGTACGGGGACCAGCCAACAGGCAGGACCTGGGTGCTGGTGGGTTTCCCGTTGACTGAACACCGGGGATAAATATTTGCCGACCCCGTGGGTTTCCACAAAGAGAGCTCCTTGGTCTGGCACCCTGGCAGCCCAGGGGCAATTCGGGCTGGGGTATATCGTTTCACTGTGCTTGGCTGTCCCTCAGCACCAGCCTGGCTGCCCTTTTTGCCACACGTGGCACCAGTGCCCTTTGGCTCTCCTTGATCAATGATGGAGATGGGTTCCTGCTTGGGGAGGTGGCGGGGGTCACGGTTGAGGCCCAGGTTGGGGTCTTTGTTCAGCAGCACAGATGCAGGCACTGGGTTGGCCACTCCCACGTAGGTGCCAGGAATGGTGCTGATGAGCGCAGTTGAGTTCTTCACCCAGGTGCTTGGATCCCCGTTCCTCACAATCTCGGGAAAGATGACAAAGGGCGAGGAAGTGGAGCCCAGGCAGGAGGTGACATTGCTGCCGGCAGCCTGGGTGGTGCGCTGAGATCGAGACAGGACTGTGGAGAGGAGGGCCTTGCTGCTGGTGTGCACGGGGGTCAACACGGGCATGGGGGGCGTCTTACGCTGGTTCGGCAACGGAAGCTTCTGGCGGTTGGACTTGGAGGAGAGATCAAGGGGCATCTCGCTGCACTCGGGTGGAGAGGCCATCTCTCGTTCCAGCTGTGGTGGTGACTTGAGAGGAGAGAAAGTAACAGAGGTCCCTTCTGTTTGCTGCTCAGTGCCACCTGGCATCTTGGTGGGGTGTGGTGGGGCTGAGCTCCCGCTGGGGGCTGGCAGCAGAGGCTGTGGCGTTGGAAGCACCTTGGCAGAAGCAGTGACAAGAGAGGTGTCTGCCAAAGGCCCAGGAACCCCATCGGGCGCAGGCTGGGTGGTGGTGCTACCGGATGGGGAAGTGCAGGGGAGGCTGTTCACCTCCAGAGACACCAGCTTGGAATCCGAAGTCAGAGGCCTGGCCACAGAAAATGCATATGGGTAAGACCGCAGCTCCGGGGAGGCCAGCACGCCTGGGAGACACCTGTCCTGCAGGTAGGATGGCAGGACAGGGAGCGTAAGAGTGGAGGAAACCCCTAGAGTGGTTGGCAGTGTGGCCACACTGAGCGGTTGCCCACAGCTTGGAGGCGGGATATAGACCAGCGGCTGGCTTGGGGTCAACACTGTCCCTGGCTGAAAGGACAGGGGGACTTTTTGCATAGCTGGTGCCTGAGCTGCAGGAAAGCACACTCGACTCAAACTGAAGGAGGCCGGGATGGGTGCAGAGGTGGGAATCGCAGCTGGCGTGGCAGCAGGCATGGGTGTGGGGGCTGGAGTAAAAATGGGGGCGGGAGTGGGTGCAGGCACCGGCGTAGGAGCAAAGGCAGGGATGAGGGTGGGGGTAGAAGGCGGGCCGGAGGACGGGGTTGGGGTGGGCATGGGCACAGACGGAGGGGCAGGGGCCGCTGGAGGCGTGGATGCCGGCATTGGAGCCAGAACTGGAGTGGGGACAGGAGCAAGGACCAAGGTTGGAGCTGAAGGGGGCACAGGAGCCTGGATGAGAGCCAAGGGAGGAGCCGAAACTGGGACTGAAAGCGGGGCAGGAGCCGGAGCCGACAAGGGAACCGGGCCTGATGGGGGAGCAGAAGCTGGCACAGGCACCAAGACCGAGGCTGAAACGGAAAGGGGATTTGAATCAGAGATGAGCGTGGGCACTGATGGCGCCGGAGCCAGAGCCGGGACAGGTGCTAAGGGAGGGGAAGGAGCTGGAACTGAAGTGGCAACTTGGACTGGAACCAGCCCTGAATGGGGTACTGGGGCAGGCACGGAGAGGGGAACCTGGAATGCATCTGGAACAGACGGGGGGACGGAGGCTGAACCGGGAGCAGGGGGACAGATAGGGGCTGGCAGAGGACTGAAGTTAGTGGTAACCAGAGGCAGGGTCCCCTCCACAGGGACTCCAGTTCCCAGAGTTGCCAAAATGAAAGTATTCTTCTCCCCAGCGCCTTGCCGAGAGTCCAAAGCCTTTACTCCGGCTGGTGAGCAGTCAACCTGTTTGCTCATTTGGGTGTTGAGTGGAGTCCAGGAGCAGTCGGCCCTGCTGTTGCTGGCCTCAGTGCTGTCAGGCGAGGGAAGCTTGAGCCCGTCTCCTGGGCTGCTCAGGGGCACCAAGAGGCCCTCCGCCTCTGCCACGTTCCCAGCATAGTCCATTTTTGGCTGGGTATCATCAGGCTTGTCTTCTGACTTGTGCCCAAGTTTTTCTGTAGCACTGCCATCTGGGTCTGCCCCCCGGGCATTGCTGCCACTTCCAACTGCCGTGAGCTCCACCTGCAATGAGAGGACAGCATGCACATGTCAGCCAGCTCCCTGCGGATGGTGCAAGTGTCCTGAGGCCCCTGAGAGGCGACTGCTGGTCTTCTCTGCAACTCAACCGACCAGGACTCGGAAGAAGCAGAAGAGGGCAGCCAGCCAATTTGTGTCCCACCAACACCAACTCCTGGGAGAGACCCTGTCCCTTCCTGCCTGCTTCTTGGGATGGCAGACTGGGCACACCTCCTGGGCAGCTCAGCTCCATCCTTTGGTGGACAGTGTGTGGCTCCATAAGCCTCTTACCTTGGAAAAACTGCTGCTGACACAAAACTCCTGAGATCCAAAGTGCTGGCAGTCACCTGTCGTTGACTCCTCATCAGAAAGAGGTGCTCTTCTAGCATGGAAGATACAACCAGAGAAGGGACATGAGGCTCAAGCTTTGAGTCACCACCAGAATGCCTTCCCCTGCCTCCTGCCCGCCTGGGTCCCCATAAAACCTTCCTGTCTCACTTCCCATAGTAACTTTCGAGGGGGATTACAAGGAACTGGGGGTTCTTGGTTACAAAGCGGAGGTTCCACACCTAGCTTTGCAAGTTCCTGCCAGAGCCCAGTCTGACTAGACTCCCGTCTTTGGACTGTTTATCCCATTTTCTAGGGCTCTTGCCAGGAGTGTAGATACCCTGGCACTTTCACCTTTTCCGTGGAGCTTACCCACCAAAGTGACCATCCAGAATGTACAGGGCATTGCTCAAAGGGGAGAGACATGAGAACCACTGAATGCCTCAAAAGGCATGCAAAACCCACTTTTCTTTTAAATACAATCTTATGTGAAGTCTCTAAGGGCAACTGGCTGAAAGTGTCATATGGGTAATCCTCTTCTAAAACAAATAAACCCCTGCTGTGTTTTCAGGTCTAAGTCTGAATCTTCACCTATTCACCTCCTGGCTTGCCTAGAGCAGAGACACGCTTATTAGCACTGGTAATGATACCACTTGGAGGCCACCAGGTCACTGGGTGCTGAGAGGCATTTAAAAAATACTACTTTTTTTCCCTCCAGGAGACACTGCCCCTTTTTCTAGAGTTCTAGGCAACACCCTCCCTTCTACGCTCCTTCTATACTTGCCTACCTTCTATCCCCTGCCAGCCTCCCCGACCCCCCCCTTCTGTCTCTCAGCACCACTACGTTCTCTCCTGTCCCAAAGGCCACAGACCCCAAATTCAGGTTCATATGCCCCAGAGAAAAAGGCTCAAGGCCAGAGAGCTGGGTGTCAAAGGAGGAAAACTCAACTACATCTCCCCCTGCTCAAAAAGTCTTCTCCAAATTTCAGGTAAGCATCATAGAAAACGTTACATCCTGACCAAAAAAAAAGGGAGGGGGTCAGACTGGAAGGGTGAAGTTACCCACTGAAAATCTGGTATTTTAAGTACAGCAAGAAATATTAGGCCAGGCACGGTGGCTCATGCCTGTAATCCCAGCACTCTGGGAGGCCGAGGTGGGCGGATCACCTGAAGTCAGGAGTTCGAAATCAGCCTGGCTAACATGGTGAAACCCCGTCTCTACTAAAAATACAAAAATTAGCCAGGTGTGGTGGCAGGTGCCTGTAATCCCAGCTACCGGGAAGGCTGAGGCAGGAGAATTGCTTGAGCCTGGGAGGTGGAGGTTGCAGTGAGCCGAGATCCAACCACTGCACTTCAGCCTGGGTGACAGAGTGAGACCCTGTCTCAAAAAAGAAAAAAAAAAAAAAAAAACTATTGCCCCCTGCTCTAGGGAGTCGTGGGTGGGAGTGGCCAAGGAGGAGGCTGGGGTTAAAGAGTAAAACCCCAACACAGATGCTGCAGTGTGTTTCCTGGTGGGCACAGGACTGAGCTGGGTGCCCCTGGGGAAATACACTGTGTTTGAGGTTGCCTCCCTTCTTTTTTTTTTTTTTTTTCCTTTTTTGAGATTGAGTCTTGCTCCGTCACCCAGGCTGGAGTGCGGTGGCGCGATCTCAATCTTGGCTCACTGCAACCTCCGCCTCCTGGGTTCAGGCAATTCTCCTGCCTCAGCCTCCTGCGTAGCCGGGGTTACAGGCATGTGCCACCATGCCTGGCTAATTTTTGCCTCCCTTCTTTAGAGGCTCACCCCAAGCTCCTGAAGACAGCCCTGAAGAAGCTGGATCCCACCTCCCCAGTCACCCTAGCCAAAGGGCAATCGGGTGCTGGAGCCAACCCCAATAAGAAGAGGGAGGGCCCTGCTAATTCCCTCCCTCCCGCTGAAACAGGGACTCCAAAATTGTACCTGGGGCAAGAGAAGCAAAAAAGGCAAGGGGGATCACCACGGGCCTCTCCCCATCTTTTCAGGGCTCCAGAAGGGGCTAACCGAGGGGGAAAGGCGTATTCCCTTTAAAAGGCAGTTGGACTGGCAGAAGTGGGAGGGCTCCACTGCTGGAAGTGACTGTTGGTGACAAACAGAAATGACTGTAAGGAGAGGCAAGGGCTTTGGATGCAGTCAGGGTGGTCTCAGGGAAGGGGAGGGAGGGAGGGCCCAAGGGAAAGGGAAAATATACTTTCACATCAACTCCTAAGAGACCAGAAAAGCGAGACCTATGCCCAGCCTTGGGCCGGGGGAAGCGTGTTCCAACTAGACGCCAGGGATGGTTTTGCGGGAGTACTTGAGGGGAAATGAGCAGCACTTCCCCCAAGCAACCCCACCTGGGAAGGTGCTATTTATTTACATTCTTTCCCCTCCCGGCCATACAAAAGGGAGTGAGCAAAGGGAGTGAGCTGCATCCTCACTCCCCACTTGCAAGCTCCCACCCTACCTGAAATCATTACACCTTGAAAGCAGAAGCCCTGCCATCCAAGGAAGCCGCCAGAGAACCACAAAGCCAGGCCAAGCAATAGCAGTCCTGGCTACTCCAGCCATACCCACGCCTGAGTGCCAGCCCCCAAGGCGCTGCAAAATGTCATGCAGCCGTGTTTCAAATCCTCTGAGAAGAGGGGTGGGTACAGCTATGCAAACATTAACTTGCTCCATTGAGAGAAGAGCCTGGGACAGGAGTAACTTGCAGGGAAGGGGGCCCGGGAAGAGCTTGGTCAACTGGGCGAGGTTATGAGGGTACAGCTGGCAGGGGTGGGCGGCAGGAGGGAACAGAGGTCATAGCAGGCTTCAGTCTGGACTAAAAATCAATCTTGCTGCTTCTTCCCACCAGAGAGGAGACAGAACTGTTATTATGTTCAAGACTTTGTAGAACTTAAACCAGAAACGGCCATGACCCCTTAGGGCCGTTTCCCTAATTATTAAGCGCTAGCACCACTGTCAAACTGGACCTTCTTCAGTTCCTGTTGGGCCCAGACTACCCATAAGAGAAATATACCACCCAGCACACACCAGGCTCCTTACCTTCCAGTCCCGGGAGACTTTTCTTGGCTTGAGTCCCATGGTACCCCAAGATTGTCTTCATTCCAACTCAAACCTCCCCAAATACACTGTGTTCTTATTGTCCAGTGAAATACCAGCTCTCACCTCAAACTCCTACTCATTCCTCAAGCCCAGGCTCAAATGCCACTGCCTCTGGGAAGCCTTCCCTTATTCTCCCACCAGTAAGTTTGTCAGTCTCGCACCTGGACTGCCACTGGACGCAGACATGCTACTCTAGGGCACTCACCACCAATGTACTAGGACTATATTGGTTTGCTCTCATTACATTGAATAAATGCTTGTTGAATTAAGGCATGAATTAATCCTAGAAGGAACGCAAGCAAGCAAGCAGACCCATTTAGCTATAGGTTTGCCTAGAGACAGCCACCTGGGGTCAGGTGCAAGCCCATGCCTCCTGTTCTGCAGTCCTTAAGTGTAGCTGCCAAAGCTGGCAGGCCTCTAAAACATCACTTTAAGAGTTAAACCCCAGGTGCAGCTTTATACCCCAAATTCCTAAATTCTACAAGTTGTAAAGGGCCAAAGAAAAGGATTTTTAAATAAGATGAGATTACATTTTAGAAACCAGTGATAGCATGGCCTAGACTGTAGCAAGAAGGTGACAAAAGGCAGATGAGATCGAAAGTGACAACACTTAAAAGGTCATTTAAGCACTAGGCACGGGTTTAGGAGGGAAAATCTGGCTGGACCCGATGGCTCATGCCTGTAATTCCAGCCCTCTTGGGAGGCCAAGGTGGATAGATCACCTGAGATCAGGAGTTTGAGACCAGCCTGTGTAACATGGTGAAACCCCATCTCTACTAAAATACAAAACTTAGCCAGGCATGGTGGTATGCACCTGTAATCCCAGCTTCTCGGGAGGCTGAGGCAGGAGAATCATTTGAACCCAGGCAGCGGAGGTTGCAGCAAGCCGAGATGGTGCCACTGCACTCCAGCCTGGGCGACAGAGTGAGACTTCATTTCAAAAACAAAAAACAAGAAGGGGGGAAAATCAGATTTTGAGCCTACTTCCTGCTCCTTTCTTGGCAGGGATTTACAGTAGATGGTGAACCAAGGTAACTTGCCTGTTTGGTCCTTTTTAAAAATTTTATTTTATTTTATTGTTTTTGAGACGGAGCCCTGCTCTGTCACCCAGGTTGGAGTGCAGTGGTACAATCTTGGCTCACTGCAACCTCCGCCTTCCGGGTTCAAGTGATTCTCTTGCCTCAGCCTCCCCAGTAGCTGGGATTATCAGGCATACACCACAGCTAATTTTTTTGTATTTTTAGTAGAAACAGGGTTTCTCCATGTTGTCCAGGCTGGTTTCAAACTCCTGACCTCAGGTGATCTACCCGCCGTGGCCTCCCAAAGTGCTGAGATTATAGGCATGAGCCACCACACCCAGCTCCATTGGTCTTTTGAAGGCTCTAGTCCAGATTTCTGCATCAAACTCTCAATTACTTATAACAAGGTCAACATAACCTGCCAATGAATACGCCCAAATCATTATCATCACACGGCGTTTCCCTAGATCATCTCTTAGTGATTGTCTGAGGACATACTTCATACGAAAAGGAAAACACTTTTCTTCCTGAGCACCCGAGAAGAATTCTGTCTCATTTTCCATAGGCCTGACTCTTATACCCTAAAATTAAATTCCTTTTAAGTCCATCTCTATCTTGTTCCTCAGTACAAAGAACATTAAGCTATCAGGAGCTAATGGCTTAAGAAAATGAAAAGGTCTATTCTGCCAACCTTGACCTCAGACAAGTATACACTTCTCTAGTTAGGAACAGAAGAAAAAAATAGATAAACATGCAGACTTCCATTCCTTTTCCCTCAAAATCACCAATACTCCCTCATACGCACATACACATTTCTAAAATTTACCCAAAAAACATCAGATCTTGAATCTCAGGGAAAGCCATATTGTTCTGTGTCTTGGTGATTTATCTGATGTATATTTGAATTTAAACAGTCAATGGATTGAAGCAACAGAAAAACACCAGCAAGCATGAGAGAGCAGTGTCTTCTCTAAAAACGGGAGAGGTACTGCAGCCATCACTCACAGCTCTTTGACCAAGGGTTATGAAAGTCAAATATAAATTCTGAAGGCCATTTTGAGTACTTTGGGTATGGGGCATGATCAGGAAATGGCATGTCTTGGTCAAGCAAATATTCTGGGGAACAGATAACTGAAAACACATACACATCAGGCAGGTATCACCAACTCTCGATGTTGTATTAAGACCATGCTATGTGGTCTCAACTTCCTTTGATACTTCATAAGGATCTCACTTCAAATTGGAATTTGCCTCACGAGATGGGAAAGTGCTGACTGCCAGAATGCCCACTGCCAGTTCCCAGTAGAAATCTGACCAATAAAACCGCCTTTCTTCCAGGCCTAGATCAAGGACTGAAAATATTTTACACATATCCTTAAGCACCAAACTTTGATGCAGCAAATCAAAACTGCAATCGCTGGCCAGGCGTGGGCAGTGGCTCATGTCTGTAATCCCAGCACTTGGGGAGGCTGAGGCAGGAAGATTACTTGAGCTCAGGGGTTTGAGACCAGCCTGGGCCACATGGAGAAACCCCATCTCTACAAAAGCTACAAAAAAATTAGCCAGGCATGGTGGCACTCGCCTGTGGTCCCAGCTACTTGTAGGGCTGAGGTGGGAGAATCACTTGAGCCCAGGAGGCAAAGGTTGCTGTGAGCCAAGACTGTGTGACTGCCCTCCAGCCTGGGTGACAGGCCCTGCCTCAAAAAAAAAAAAAAAACTGCCATCGCCTGAGCTTCCTGTTACTCCACAGTCTGACAGTTCTTAATGAGTAGACAAGTGCTAGCTGGCAAAAGGTCATTTTTTGGCCTCCTCACCTTCATCTGAAAAGAGATAGCATGGCAGATCAGGCCACTCACACAGCCCCATCCCCATCCTGCCACAGGAAAATTAGAAACAACCAAAAGTCTCCTCCCCAGGGTCCCTCCCCAGGTCCTGCTCTGTGCAGCTATTCCTCTGATGACGAGGTAATGCTCACTGGAGGCCAGCAGCGGCCACCTTCCTGGCCTCCTCACCTCTCCTCGTTGATGCCACACATGCGAATCCGGTCAGAACTGGTCCAGTTATGCACGCCGCTGTAGAGCGGTGCTGTAGAGATCATGACAGCCACTCACCACCAGATAGGACCTGCTGTGGCCACTCCCCCTGGGGAAAAGAATTTCAGAAAATCAAAACTCGTCACAGGGACAGCTGCTTCAATCACCTTTCACACAGCAATGTTTCAATAAAGGTAATTTTAGCATCGGAATGTTAAAGCAGCCATTCTCATGAGGCAGCCTGCTATGGAAAATGAAGGTCTAAGCCGTGAAGAGGGAGCACCAGAGCTTTCTAGGAATCCATAGGTTTTAGGATGGACATGAGGACATTGTTAATCACCTAGAGTGAGTTTTAAATTATCTTAAAAGACAGATATGCTTGAATGTTTGAGGAAATTCAATTTATTTCAGACAAATGAGATGACAGTGTATTTTTCTACACACATTTAGCCTAACCAACTACAATTAGAGAGTCAAACCCATATACGAACAGTGCACTGAAACACTACTGGTGATTCTTTTCTCATCTACTCTCTAACCCATGGGTATGGAAGTATTTGAGTGACGTAGCCAATTTTACACTCTTCAGAGGAAGCATATGCCTTTTTATAAGCCCTTCAAAAATACTCTATTGATTTTGAGCTGGCCATAACACATGTATCTAACCTGGTTTCAAGCTCCCTCCAAATCAGGTGTGGTATTCCGAAAACACTGACCACCAACAAGCAAACAAACAGAAAACAATGTTCCATCAAGAACCACATGTCTTGGCGGGCACAGTGGCTCACACCTGTAATCCCAACATTTTGGGAGGCCAAGGCAGGTGGATCACCTGAGGTCAGCAGCTTGAAACCAACCTGGACAACATGGTGAAACCCTGTTTCTACTAAAAATTAAAAAATTAGCCGCGTGTGGTGGCATGCACCTGGAATCCCAGCTACTCAGGAGGCTGAGGCACAAGAATCGCTTGAACCTGAGAGGCAGAGGTTGCAGTGAGCCAAGATTGCACCAGTGCGCTCCAGCCTGGGCCACAGAGCAAGATTCCATCTCAATAAATAAATAAATAAATAAAAATAAAAACAAGAGCCACACGTTTCCATCCTTGTCTCTTCATATGAGTCTGTTATCTCCATGCCCTACCACTCTCTTCACCAGCCAATGTCCAGCTCTCACTTTGACAAGCAGGGCACAGTCAATTTACCTACTAGAAAAAATGAGGCACCAAGAAAAAGAGCTTTATCCAATGAGCCAGTCTTGAGACCCTTAAGCTCTTGAGATAGCTTATTAGCTAAAATCCTTATTCACTGAAGTTCAACTGAACGGAACCCTACAGTGATCAGAATTTTATGCTGTTCTCCACTTTCCAAAGAAATAAATCACAGTAAGATACAGTTGTATGACGGATTTGTTTCGTGTATCTGTTTTTGTTTTCAGAGATTGTCCACATTCAACACAGTACCACAATTTATTGCATTCCTTCTATGAGTCAGCACCATCCTAGATATTGAGGATTCAACGATTAATGAAAACAGACCAAAAGCCCATGTGGAACTTACACCCCAGAGGGATGACATGGACAATAAACATGTTGAATACTTCCATGTTACAGCACATTAAATAATTCTATGTCGCCAGGCATGGTGGCTCATGTAATCCCAGCACTTTGGGAGGCCAAAGTGGATGGATCACAAGGTCAGGATTTGGAAACCAGCATGGCCAACATGGTGAAATCCCGTCTTTAGTAAAAATACAAAAACTAGCTGGACGTGGTGGCATGCACACCTGTAATTCCAGCTACTCGGTAGGCTGAGGCAGGAGAGTCGCTTGAACCTGGGAGGCGGAGGTTGCAGTGAGCTGAGATCGCGCCACTGCAATCCAGCTTCAGCGACAGAGCGAGACTCTGTCTCAGAAAAATAAATAAATAAATAATTCTATGTCACGGCATGTTAGAAGATAGTACAATACAGGCTAAAGGGCAAGGGCACAGTCTAGGGTTCGGGGGGGCTACCATCTGAAATAGGGTAAGCAGGGTGGGACTTGCTGAAAAGGAGACATCTAAACTATTGGTATTAATGGTAGCTCAAGGAGCAGCCAAGCAGATTTTGGGGGAAAAGCATTCCAGGCTGAGGGAAGAGTGCACGCAAAGTCCAAAGGCAGGGGGTTACCCACAAAGATCAAGGGAGAGCCAGGAGGCCAGTGTGGAGGTGGCAGGAGAAGAGAGGAGAGAGGGATCCACCCAGTACCTGCCTGGGCTTCATCCTCCTCCTCATCTCTGGAGAATGGGATACATTGCCCTCACCCCTTCTCTTTATTCTCTCCCTTCTCTTGTCTTTCCTGTCCCACTGCTTGATGGCTTCTCCGAGGCCCTTCTCTTCCACTGCCCACACAGAGACTTGGACATTCACCGGAGTCTGGCCTTTCCCTTGATCTCTGTCTCTCTTCACCTCTGCCACCCTCTTCCATTTCTTCCCCTTCCTATTTTCCAAGGCTGCTTTCCTCTTTCTCTTCCTCCCCCTACCCATCTCTCTGTCTTTCTTCTTCCACCTAGTGTCTCTTCCCCCTCCTCACCTTTCTCTTCCCTTATTATTCTCCTAGCTGTTCACCTCTAGCCTTTCTCCTCTCTCTCTCACACACACACACAATCCCCTCTCCTTCAACTTTTTCCCCCTTCCCACCTCTCACCTTCCATCTTTTGCTTTTTTACCTCACCTTCCTCATTTCCCTCAGTCTCCCATTCAGTCTCTCCTCCCTCTCCCACTCCTTCCCTTTCTTCCTCCCATGTCCCCCCCTCCCCTCCAGTCTGGCCTTCAGTTTCCTTCTTCCAATCCCTTCCCAGTCTCACTCTGTCTCTTTTCTTCCTAATCTGCCTTCTGCGGCTCTCTCTGGCTCCCCCCACATCTTCCTCTCCCTCTGTGCCCCTTGTCAGCCCTGCCCCGCCTTCTCTCTCAGCTCATGAGCTTCCACAGTTTCAGCTTGCCCCTTGGTGTGCTGATGACTCCCAAATCTGTATCTCTAGCCTTGACCTCTCTCCTTAGGCCCAGACCAGAATTTCCAGCTGCCAGCAACTCACTGTTAATTGGATGACCACCAAGCCCCTCAAACACAAAGTGTCTCAAACCATACTCATTATCTGTTTCCATAAACCTGCTGCCCATCCCCCACCCAGTACGCAGCATGTTTCCTAGCTTACTTAACAGCACTACTGTCCCCTAGCCTGGAGATTTCCGCCTTGTCATCTTGAACTCCTTATCTCCCCTGCCACCCATATTCAATCAGAAGTCACACCTTAATAATGCCATCTCCAGTGTTGTCTTCTACCCTTCTTGTCACCACCCTGGTGCAGGCCCTCGTCAGCTCTCACCCAGAATATTACATTCACCTCTTAACTGCTCCCTCTGCCTTCAATTTCTTGATTCTACAATCAATTCATCTTCTAAAGCGCCAGTTCGATCATGTCACTCCCTCCCTCCTCAAACACTTTCAATAGCTTTCCCCAGCCTCTAGCATCAAGCCAGCCATTCTCAGCACAGCCTCCAGGGCACTCATAACCTGGCCTCAAACCTCCTCTCCAGCCTCCTCTTCCACCACATCCTGCCATTTCCCCACCACTCTCACCACCCCCAGCTCCCAGCCCTTCCCAAACACACCATCCAGTTTCAGGACTCTTCTGCCTCCTCACCCTGAATCGGTCTCTTCTGGTTCCCCCTCTTCCTCTCCCTGTCTTCCCTCAAGACCCAGCTTAAATGTCATCTTGTCATTCCGTTAACCCCTCCCTCTCTGGTTCTCCTCAAAATTTAACCCTATCTCTTCCACAGCACTGGTTCTTATTCTCCTCTCTAGCTTGGTTAGTTGAAGGCATGGCATGGTCGTCTCCCCCACCAGACAATCAGCTACCTAAGGTAAGAAATAGCATCCTTCAGCTGGGCATAGTGGCTCACGCCTGTAATCCCAGCACTTTTGGAGGCTGAGGCAGGCAGATCACGAGGTCAGGAGTTCGAGACCAGCCTGAACAACATGGTGAAGCCTGTCTCTACTAAAAATAAAAAAATTAGCTGGGCGTGGTGGCACATGCCTGTAATATCAGCTACTCAGAAGGCTGAGGCAGGAGAATCGATTAAATTCAGGAGGTGGAGGTTGCAGTGAGCTGAGATCGCAGCACTGTACCCCAGCTTGGGCAACACAGCGAGACTCCATCTCAAAA